TTCAAGAAAAAACTGCTTTTTGGAGGACCTAAAGACTGAACTCAGTTGACTGTACCAGTTCAAAGTCTTCCAGTTCACACTTGATCATGCGCCGTGTTGTGCTCTCTAGGATTGCCTGTAGGTCAGACTGATAACCCTCCTCCTCCTCCTCGTCTTCGTCACTGTCATCGCCACTGGCGGCAGCAGCCTGCCTCATGCTGTGCAGCCACAGCAGGCTGTGGACAGTGCAGCTCAGCAGATGTGCCTGAAACAGAACAACCACTGTCTGCAGCTAACATCACAGCAGACAAACAGTTGCTTGGAAAATTCTACTAAACAAAATTTGGATGGTACCAGCGGCTCCTGAAGATAGACCTGGTCTCCATGGGCGGTGATGCATGGCTCCAGTTTCACCGGCGGCAGAAGGTCTTGTTCAGGCTCGTAGTACCGCCTCAGCTAAAGATGCAAATACTTGAATTATATATTATATATATAGCTGCAAGTCACTAACACAAAATGGACAAAAAAATGCAAAATGCACACCTGTGTGAGGAGGGTTTGCATGATGGAGCTTGCAAGTTGAGAGTTGCGACGGAGGACATCATAGAAACCCTGAAAGGTACAAAAGTTTCCTTCCTTAGTATTAATCACGTTAACAATCACCCAAAATTTAGGACTCGTATAATTTTTAAGGCCTAGTTGGATTTAAAATTATTCAAATGTAAAGTACAAACAAGTTATTTCTACATGAATACAGTCAATATCCTAGCAAGGATTCCAGCTAATTAAAAATAATCTAACAGGGATCTTAAAAAAAAGACATCTGACCTCATAGAGCATGAGGCGCACATCAGCCTGCTGGCTGAGGCAGCGCCGCAGGCTGCTGAGGATCTCTAGACAGAACGCCTCATTGGCAGCGGAGTTGTAACGGGAATGGACATCCACTTGGACCTATGCACAGGTTGACAAAGACACAATCCCTCAGCTATGGACGTTTGAGCTCTCTCCTTGCATGTGTGTGTCTAAAGCGAGGACGCTGTGCAGGGGTCGGATGTTAGGATACCTGGCTGGAAGAGACTGCCTGGCTACACTGGCTTGAGGCCAGGCTGCCCAGCACTTTGAAGTTCTTCAGCAGTAACAAAAAGCCGGTCACGGCAGACTTCCTGCCATCCAGCTGGCTGGTTCAGTCAACCAAAGAGCAGAAATGGCGTCAAAAAGTGACTATATCTGATTAATCTGGATAGAAGCATAGTAGTACATACCTGGAAAACATCGCCTTGCGGAGAACAAGAATTAAAGCGTCTTTTAAAGACATGCTGACTTTGAGGAGTGGCTGGGGATTAGAAACAGAGACATGGTTAAAGAGCAGAAGCCTCCACATTGCAAGAGTGTGCCCCTATCTCTTTTTCAGTACCTGAACAGCTTTTAGCAAACCCTGAACGGTTGCCAAAGGCAGGTATGACAAGTGGTCGAACGTTTCCGTGACCTTGCTGGAGGACTCCAGGAGGATCATTGGGGCAGAAACCACAATGTCAGAGAAAAGATCTGCGGAAACAGAAAAACGAAACCTCCTTTCACCGGCTAGGTGGAACAGAAAATCTGACAGCTGCCACACCAGCAGCTTGTTTTACCTAAATAATGACTGACGGGTGAAGCCGTCTTTGTGACCAGTCGGTTCAACACCTGCTCCAGTATCTCCCCTCGGATGGGCTCGTGTATCTGTTATAGACACACACACTTCAGTTAGAAAGCATGACATAAACATGTGATTTCCACCAACTTGGCATTTTCGTTGCTATGGTTGCATCTCATTCAGACAAAGCATCACCTTAAAGCCCTGCAGCAGCACCTGTCTTCCCAGCCTACAGGCCAGCTGCGTGGGGGTCCGTGCCACACTAACCACCCCCTCTGTGCTTTTGCCGAATGGTCCAGGTTTGGGTCCAAATGTGTCCATAAGGAAAAAGCCCAGTTGCACCAAACCCTGAGTGACATGATCCCACCCGAACACACTGCGAAACAGGAAGAGTTGAACCCACAAACGTGGTGTTTGTGTTAAATCTATCACACCATTTAACCATGTTACTATGAAGAGCACTTACTTTTTCAGAGGGTGAACGATTATTTTCTTCAGATGATGAATTTCCTTTGTGCTTTACTCGAGTGTTTAAATGCACAAGGAGAAAATAGACTAAGCCTCACCTGTTCTTGACCGTGTCCAGTATCATCTGAGCCACACTACAGTGTCCTGGAAGGAGGTCCTGAAGGAACTTTGACCCCTGCTGCAGCTGCTCATCCTTGAAGCTCTTGATAACGGCCCCTTTCAAAAGCTCATACACCTATCCCAAATTAGACATCCGAAAGAGAAAAAAATTATTGAACATTAAAGCAACCTGAAACAAGCCCAGAAGAGAAAAGTAAAGTTCAGTCACCTGCTCCTCATAACGCTGAATGCGTGTGACAGAGAGCAACAGGGCCACACTGAAAGGACATAAGTCTCCGTAGGACATCTGCAGAAAAGTAGTATGGGAATAACTGGCACAGGCTATAACTCAGCTTTGATTTAAATTGGAAAAAAATGAGGTTGCACGGCTAATAACCTTGATACTTTTGAGGAACTCTCTTCCGAGTTCGTGGTCCAGTCGTATAGCAAAGACAATATGGAGGATAACAGTGCCCTCCACGTGTCTCAGCTGGTCCTGTGGAATTGACTGAACCTCGAGATCCAAGCTCCTGAGAAAGGGAGACAAACAATGTTACAATATGTGAATAAAAAATTATCAGTTGTTGCTTGCAATATAGGAGTCACTCACTCTCCATGTTTCTGCTCTTCTTCCTGGCGAATGTCTTGCTCTTTAAAGTAACCGATGACTCCATCAAGGACCTGCTTCTTACAGCCCTAACGTGTAGGCACAAGACAACCTTTAAAACAAGTAATGAGATCGGAAAAGTGTCCCCCACGAGTGAAAATGAACATTTATACCTTAGCAGATAAAAGCAGCAGCTGGTAAACCAGAGGAGGGATCTCCTGCAGATCCAGCTTAGAGAACATTCTCAGCACTTTCTCTACCAGAAACTGCAGTTCCTCTGATGACAGGGGCACATCCCTGAAATTCGGCAGACAGAGGTTAAATTGGGGACCAGAACAGTGACACACTTAGTAATATTTTAGGTGTTTACGAGAACACAACGAACACCGTGCAACCTAGCAAAAAACTAAGGCCTTGGAATACAATTTCATGTTTATGATGGAACCCTAACTATGAAATCCTTTACCTGAACATTGTTGTCAAGTAGATGACACACTGTGGGTCCCATCTGTAAAAAAAAAAGAAAAAAGGAAACGATTAAGTGATGACCGGTATTCTGATTTTGCAGATATATATTGATATACACATCTATGCGTTGTTAAAGTCTTGCTCTCACCTGCTTGAACAGAGGGTGTTAATTAGCTGTTTCTTGTATTCTTCACCACTGAGTTCACCTGAGATTAGGGTAATTAATTGTTTGATTTATGCAATTCGATCATCTGGAATTCATTGCATTGCACAACATTTGACTTCATTTAAAAAGGACAATAAATTTGCATCTAACCTTTCCCATATGACAAGGTTTCACAGCCAGCGAGGGCAGTGAGAATAGTAGGAAACAGCTCCAGAGATTTTCCGCTGCCCATTTTCCCCACTTTAATGGCGTCAACAAACAGAGACGCCAGTTGTGCTAGAGATGGCCCGGACAGAGCATGAGTCTGGATATAACAATAAAAAAAGTCAAATTAAACAGAAATCATCGTATTTTTTTTTTCTACTCATGTGAACAAGGAACAAGGTATTAACGAATGTCATTAATACATTAAAAAATCTGGGCTACCAAGAAAAGAAACCAAGAAACCATCTAGATCTCAACAACGGATACCAGAAAAAAGCATTGGAACCTCAAGCATCAGCAGTCCAATGATATCTGCAGCAACCTCTGCCTGAAGGTCCCCAGATTCACACAAAGGGATGCAGTGTTCATATACAAGCAGTCTGCGTTTGGACCCCTCAGCGGAATTAGGAGGGGATCCTAAAGAAAAGGGAGCACAGGTCTTACTTTTAGTAATCTCTGCATGACATTATACATTCATGCAATTACTTACATGTTTATATTCTGACAGATAACAAGACTATATAAATCATGGTGTTGGAAACAAAAGACGCACTTACCTTTTAATATGCCTTTAATCATGGTACCGACGTTCTTGCCCTTAAGTGCGCTATTGGTTATCACAGTAATTAGCTAGAAAGAAGGTAACGTCCCGCATGAATTAGAGGCACTCAATGCAGTGACAAGACAAAATGTTTCGTCAAAGGCCAAAGCGACTTACTTGATTATTTGTTAAAGACGACAGATACTTCTGAAGCTCTGACGCTCTGTCTCCATCAAACAGGGAGACGATTTTATCCATTTCAGCCTTCATGGTCCACTCAAATATCCACACGGGACACAATAAAGTGTCGTCGGCTGGAAACGAGCTCCGTCTGTCTGAAGTGTGGCACTCTGTTCAGTCTTTCGGTTGTTTAACTAAAGTTTAACTTAATCATTCAAAATTTAAGAGTAAAAATAACTACGTTTGTAGTGGGAATGACACAGACACCTTTCATAACACCAAGCAAAATTCCCGCCTGTGAGTGAGACACTTCCTGTTTTGCTACGTGGTTGCCATGTTCATACGTAGATACCCCTAAATACCTGTATTATATACCTGTATATTCAAGGCAATTCGATTGAACAATCCAATAGGATTATGATTTTATTGGATAATTTTATGTTGAGAATTGAATGGATAAATTAAGAGTGTGATTTTCTCACGATACAATTTGTACATATCGGAATCTACTT